ATCCACGATTGTTTGTGGGACACTGCTGTGTGCAATTGGCTGCCGCATTTTCCCCACAAAATATAGTCAATTCACTTTACAATGTATTATTTGAAGTGCTTTGAGACATTTCGAAGGCAAGATGAAGCACTATATTCAAATGCAACGATTATTTTTATTATTGCATTTTCTTTTCTAGTCTTGGGTTTAATAATTTCCATATATAATGTGGGTGGACCAGATGTAATATCACATTGCACAGTCAATTCATAAACCTAGAGTATTTTATTGACAGCAATCCATTTAGAATTTGTAAGCTTACCAGAAACTATATTATCAGACTGGTTATGTCAGCCTAACTCATTTAGCAGCTTTTTCACTTCTAAATCAAAAGATTGAGGGTTCAATCCCCACTTCATAGTCTGGCTGACACTCTAATCACTATAATGTTCAATCCATTTGATTTTGAAGAATTGATCTCCTGTTCATAAAATGTGAGAAGGTGACTTCCCTGCCCTCCATCCTCCCTAATCCCAACCCCCAGCTCAGGTCCAAATCTCTGACTGTCCAGCCCCTTGAGACGTCCTCCCAACATGAAAGACCCTCCACGGTCTTGCCCCTCCCTACGTCCGAGACCTGCTGACCACATATCAACCTGTCCACCGCCTCTGCTTAGCAGGCTCTGGCCTGCTTCACGTCCACAGCCCAGCCCGCTCCACCATCGGCAGCTGGGTCTTCAGCCTTTCTGCCCCCACCCTATGGAACTCCATCTCACATTCCCTTCGCCTCTCTCCCTCCGTTGCCTTCTTCAAGGTGCGTCTCAAAACAATCCTCTTCAACTGAATCTTTGGCCACCCTCCTACCCTCCCTGCCCTCCACCCTCCCCGAGCCCGACCCTCAGCTCGGGTCTAAATCCCTGACTGTCCAGTGCTTTGGGATGTCCTCCCGTCATGAAAGGCACTATACAAATGTAATTTTGTATTTTACTGTAAAATACTCTTTCAGTTCACACAAAGGTATTGCTAACATATTGTATGCAAACAAATTAATACCAATACAATCAATTTACAATTCAAAAAGATTAATTTGAGATAATTTAGTAAAATTAGATTATATAAATTAAATGCTGCATTCACCTAAACCAGATAAAGCTCTACGGTTTTAGCTGTTTAAACACCAGCAGTACATTTTGTCGTCTGAAAAGACAGTCACTACACTTTAGAGTCAAACTCCTGTGAAGCCCAATATGTTTAAATACAGCATATAATAATAATCCTTGCATTTGATGTAGCGCTTTTCATGTCTTCTCGACATCTCAAAGCACTTCACAGAATAGACTGTAAAGTGAATTGACCGTATATTTGTGGGCGAAACGCGGCAGCCAATTACACACAGCAATGTCCCACAAACAGTCGTGGATTGAAAATGACCAATTTATTATTGTTTTGTTTTGGAGGGATTATTATTAGGCTCTGTGTGGAGTAAGGAAACTTGCCCAAGGTTTCGCCCTCTGCCTGGAATTGAACCCAGGTGTCTCACTTGCAAAGCGAGTGCTCTAACCACTGAGCTACAGGATTCCATATGAGGCCTTTGTGGTGCATATCTGTATTCACCTTGTAACTTGCATTGAATCATATAACTTGCCTGGCTCCTCAACACAAGACATTTTGTACATAATCTATTTTTCTATTCTTTTAATTTCTCAACCAAGTTTCTCACCTCCTCATCTCTTCTTTCAAAGGCATGTGACAGTTGTTTTCCTTCAGTTGGGCACAGTTCCACTGGTACCTCAGTTATTCATCATTATTAAGAGCACTGGTAAGCTCTGTGGCCACAGAGAACGTCCTACACCTGATCCAATATCCACACACCTCACACCTTCCAGCAATTAGATTTTGCTTTGTAGAAATACAGTGGCTGTATTGAGTTGCAATCAAGGCTGCAATGAGTTGTAAATTTTTAGATATGGACACATATTGTAGAGAAGAAAGAGTAGAGACAAAGAGCTGTCACAGCTCTAATGTGAAATGTTATGCAATGCGAAAGAGATTGTCCTGGATGTCATTCAATAGGTAATCTAATCCTAAAGAAAATGAGAGCTCATACTCATGCAACAGCCATGTTTGTGATTATTCAGGCAGTTTGAGATTGCTATCTGTAGGCTTTAAAAAATAAATCATTAAATACCAGCACATTGAAAAATAGGATTGAAATAGATTTAGCAGAGCAATATGCTGTGACAGTAGATAAATCACTTTGATTTGGAAATCCTATCAACCAATTTTATTTTGCTGCATAACAGCAAAATGATGTTTACAGGAGGGAGAGAGCTGTCTTTTCACTTCTGGGGACTCGAGCTGAATCGAGGCAGGGCTCCGCAGTGTTAGAGGGAGGAGCTGTCGGAACAAGTAGATAAGCTAGGACTCTTCAGGCTTGAAAAGAGATATATTAGAGAAAACTGATATATATATCAGATGCTAAATGACACTGAGAAAGTAAACCCAGAATATTTTCAGCTACACTAAAGCGGGACCAATAGGACACAAGTTCAGGGATGTGAAGGGCAATTTCAAGATAGATATCAGGAAGGACTTTTTTACATAAAGGGTAATTGACAACTGGAACATGTTAGCTGGAAGGATGGTTGAGGCTAGGACACTGGACACTTTTTAAAAACATCGTAATACTGTGGTGGGAGGACAATAGGGTGGGTATTCTGGAAGGATGAGATTAAAAAATCTAAAGAGCTTTCTTCATCTGAACCTCTCTTATGATCCTGTGAAAAACATGAAAGTCTCCTCTCTTAGACCAACTGTGACTACACATAAGATGACAGGGTGCAGATCGATTATGAGGTCATGGATAGTAAAGACTTTGTTGGAGAGGGAGCGGACATTTTGGAAGGAAATGCGGATAGGTTTGCTGGTGGGGTGGGGGTGGAGGAGAGAGTGCTATAGCGAGGATTTGGGGTTGTGGGGGAGAAATTACCCTGGAGTTTGAGAAGCAGGGGGAGTTGGGAGAGGGCATGGATAAGCAAGGGGGAAGGGGTGTTTGCTTTCGGAGGCAGTTGGTGCAGAGAGAGTAAGCGATGGGACTGTTGGGGTAGCTATTCTGAGACAACCAACACTGGGAGCCACGGTGGGCCTGGCGGTTGATGCCCAGGCTGGAACAGAGGGAGGTAAAGGTTGGATCCGGGAGAGATAAGGCGAGGAGGGTGGTGGGAGAGTGGGAGTACAACAACAACAACAACAAGATTCCATTTATAAAGCGCCTTTCACGTCAGGAGGACGTCCCAAGGCGCTGCACAGTTGGGTCATGACCCGAGCAGGGGGGGGGGGAAATGGTCAGGGTGATGGAAGGGAGGGAGCAAGGAGGGGGGAAATGGTCAGGGTGAGGGGAGGGAAGGGAGGGAGCGAGGAGGGGGAAGAGAGTCGAGAGGGGAGCTGAAGGCACGGTCAAAGAGAAAGGTTTTGAGACCGGCCTTGAAGGAGGAAAGGGAGGAAGCAAGGCGGAGTAGCGGAGTATGGGGGGTAGGAGCAGAAACATTTTCAGAACGAGCGTCTCTATTGGTACCTCTATTGGTACAATTTTGTTGATAATCCAGTGGACAGTCAACCAATAATTAAAGCTGCATCAAAAAGTAAGCCCACATCAATACTTTAGGATGTATCAAGATAGTAGAACAAAAGGAGATAGGTTTAGAGTTGTAAAGGGCAATTTCAGGACAGGTACCAGAAAGATTTGTTTTTACGCAGAGGGTAATCAACTGGAAAAGGTTGCTAGGAAAGGTAATAGAAACCAGAACACTAGACTCACTTAAAAAGCAGCTTGATGCAGTGATGAGAGGACGATGGGGTGGGTGTTTTGGAGGAAAGAGATCAGATGGGCCAAAGTGCCTTTTTTTTATTCAGACCAATATTGTGATCTTGTGAAATGTTCAGAATCGGAATCTGTGAACAATATCGTAAAGCGTATATGAGTATATCTATCAAATTCATTTCATACTTTACAGTTGCCAATCAGCCTATCTCCCTTGGGGGGAAGCTCAGCAGGATTTCTTTGGGAGTTAAGTTGGTTTTAGGGTGACGTGCTTGGTAATGCAATATTGTAATCAAGTTGCTCCTCCGTGACAGACTCAGTAGTCCAGTTCCTGAGCTAGGTTGGTCCAAAGGCAGTGTTGATGAGGGATCAGTCTGGCTCATCAGCAGAACTTGGAAGAGCTGTTCAGTCACTGGGGAGAGGAATTCTTCCCACTTGCCTTCTGTTAATCCTGCAAGCCAAAGCTCTAATGGGTAAGATGGTCCAAGCTGGACAAGCAACAGGAAACTCAGTTCAGTGCCAATCCACAAGTCTGTCAAGAAGAGCTCCCACCCATCCCCCACCCCCCAAACATTCAAACTCATCTCGATGTTCGATCAGTAATGTGTTTTCGGGTTTTCTTGATTGAATAGATGCCATAAATCAAGAAATATTCAAGCAAGAACATTTATTTTGTTGGCTGACCATAAACATTGGCCACCATTGGCTTAGTAAGTGTTTGAAATGGCAAGCTGCACAATGTTAGCTGGTTAAATTCCAGCAGTACCCCAATGCACATTCTGGATTCCACAAGCCTTGGCTCTTGCCAACCTGTGCCTAATACTTTCCAGGATAAGATGAGCAGGATGCATTCCTCTGGGAAGAAAGTACGCACTTCATTCAGGGAAGACAAAAATTTCAATTCATATTTGGAACAATTAGTCGTTTGGTGTGGATACTCATCAGTATGGTGCCGAGTTTCCATGTGTCAGACATTCTGACCAAAGAAATCAGCCTGAAGCTCTCAAATCAAGTATCAAAATTTGAACATTGTAATAATGCTATGAAACTTCCCCCAATCATCAAAAATATGAATTAATATGTTTTTTTTATATATATAATTTTTTTATATATATACATATATAGGCAACGCTCCAGATAAAACTTTCACTCAAAAATATCCTTTGAATTATTTCAGAGGCAATATATGCATTTTTTGTTCCAGCATTTTATTCAAACAAGCACTAGCAGTTTGGAAGCACAGTACATTTTAATAAGAATACAACAAAAATTGTTAAGAATTTTTAAAAATCTCTTCTAGCAGTAAAGCAAATTCTTTGGTACAATTGACTGACACCTCTGTCAAAATGTTAATCTTTTAATCATCTTCCACAGTCATCATGGACACAAACTCTTTATACAGGATAACATTTTGATCTGGATCCAGAGAAGCAGACAGCATCTCGTCCATTTCTTCTTGTGTAAATGGTTCACCTTTAGAATAACACAACATTTGTCACTTCATTTTTCACTATAACATAATTCTTCATAAAATTACAATATATATTCTATTGGCGTACAACATGGGATAGTCATGGGATAGTTAACATCCACCTGAGCAGGCAGAAAGTTTTGTTGTTGTTGCTGTATAGAAGGCTTAATCAATACAATTGAATCTTACAGCAATACTGATATTATAAACCTCTCACAATTACAACTATTTTGCCTGCAAAATATACAGTCACTACCCACTACAGTAAAATCCTGTGAAGCAGCTTGACAATGTGATTAAGACACTGTATCAAGTGCAAGGATTATTATTTGTTTTTCTAAGCACTCCTTGATAAGAAATACTTAAAATCTATGAAATTTGGACTAAACACACCTAATCTACAGTCAGTAGACATGTAGAGAGCTTTATTTCTCAACATGTTCATACATTAATAAAAATTATTTCATAGTTAACTTTCCAAAGATAAATACAATCTATTTCATATGTACAAAAGTAGCTTTGAAACAGTAGATGTGATGATGTATCATTACTGCAAATATTTGTTGTGAATGCTCAACATCATGTATTCCTGGCATGATTACACAATATCTGGTCTACATGAAATAACAGTTTTACAACAATGTCAGTTACTTGTGCAAACACTTTGATCTACAACAGACGCAATATACTCAGTATGTGCATGTGTACTTTCACTGCTCTGGATAGTTTCTTTCTGTCAGACAGTTTTAGTACAATATAAAGCAGGCCTTTATATACAGGTTTTACTGCAACATGAAGATTTGTCAACTTTGAAGTTCAAGTCATTCTACATATGAACACAGTTAAAGTCTCTTAAAGGAACAAGCTCATCTTCAATTAAGTCAACCAGCTTATTTGGATTGTACTACTCTAAATAATTCTGGTCAAATTGTTTTTCTTTAATGGAGAGGTGCTCATTTCTATTTAGTGCACTAATGTGATTTGTGATCAATTATGATTTGTGGTCAATATGATTGGAAAATGTAATAATAATAATAATAAAGTGTAGCACTCAATGCACCACCTACCCAATTACAAACGGACAAACACCCAACTCATTTGCTTCCATGAATACTAATAATCCTTGCATTTGATATAGCACCTTATCATGTCTTTGAGACGTTTCAAAGCGCTTCACAAAATATACTATAAAGTGAACTGGTATATTTTGTGGGCGAATACTTTGTTAAGAGTACGTGCATGGACCTTTCATCACAATCCAGCTACATTCACCCTGCAACCTCTAAATACTCAGGCAATCTAGATATTCTCAAACTTATGGCCAGCTGCTGACGCATAATATTTGATTTACCGACTAGGTTAGGAGACACTGAAGACACTCAAAGATTAGTGAAAACTAACATGATAAGGGAAAATGCTTGGCCCTAGCATCAGAAAACCAATAGAGTTTCCACAATTAAACATGGAACAGTTGCTTGTCTGTATTCATATTGAGAAGGCAAAGCTGCTGAGAGAAATATACGATTTAGCACTCTAACTGAACCATGATTGCCATCTTCTGCTCCAAGTATTGAGAGTTGCTCCTCCAATAAAGTTTAGTCGAATAACACCTTTTGATGTACCAAATGGATTGACCTTGCCCATTTTCCTCCCCATTGGTTTGGGATTTCATTGTTTTTATTGGTCATGGCTATTGAGCGTAGGTTCTTTAGCCTCTGCCTTTTCATATTCTTTTTCCCTACACTCACTCCTGCTGCCCACCAAGTAGCAGATACAATCTTCAATAAGGATGATGGAGGCTAAAAACAAAATCTTGCCTAGTGTCCCAAACCCTTTGAATGATCCCACGGCATTATTCAAAAGGAGAAGAGAGTTTCTCTCTCCCAGTGTCCTGGTCAACAATCCCACTCAAATAAAATCGGTCACTCGCTCTTGGCTGTTGTGGGACATTGCTGTGCACAAACTGGCTGCCACATGTTGCACAGAAAATACAGTCAATCCAATTTACAGTGTATCATATGAATGGTTTTGTGACGTCACGACAATGTGACAAATGCAATAACAAATGCAAAGATTATTATATTATCTATTTCCTATTCTGTTTTGCTGACTCTAACACTGTACATATATATCATTGTACATAAATAGTGTTCACATTTGCACTAACTAGCAAACAAAATCTCACTTGCGTGTGAGGTTCCTAAGGACTTGGGTGTAAATGCTGTTCTTTTTAATGTTGCAACCTTACACATGTCCACAACTAGATTTCCAATTCAATTGGTTATTGTTGATTGGATTCTATTCCAATACACCATTACTTACACTCTCAAACTACTCCTTATTTCCTCAGGATGCTCGAGATGGATCCGAATGATACCTTGATAGTTGATGTCTAAATATTCTTAATTGCAAATTGTTATAATTTTAACAATTATCTAATTTTGGATTTGGAACTGGAATTTGCTTACTCTACTTTGTTTGGGTACCCGTATTTTTTTGTGGTTTTATTCTTGCAAAACCTCTACAAATTCTTCCTAACAGTGAAGGCATTCTTTTTAAATCCTTCGGGAGCAGTTCATATGCACTGAACAATCTGTCATGCTTTGATGGATGACACAGAAGGCTCTGTGAATGCCCATCCAGGAATGCAAATGCTCACTGACACTTCAAGCAAGGTTTGAAGCCAAATACTGACATACAATAAAATACACTGATTTAAAAAAAATCATCTTCTGTGTAGCTGATCCACATCTGAAACTAGAAAGCAATAATAGGAAGAAGAACTGAAATTGCCTAGAGATGGCACAACTTTTATATATGCCAGAGGACAGGAGAATTACTTGGGTGATACCCAAAGTTATCATTGACAAAATGTCATGATTCATTCAGTTGGTGACCTGGACATGTTCCAAATAATATGTGGAAAAAATGAAGGAGTGATTGTCTAAGTAAAAGAGAGGGAAAAGAAAAAATACATCTGTACAATTACCTTCAAAATTGTTGAAAATAAGGATTGTTTCTATCTCCTTTAGGCTAGACACAAGTAAACGCCGGGAAATCAAAAAGACACACCAATTCAAAAAACGAAGGAGAAGAAATTACATGGATAAAAGGTAATATTTGGATCGCAACGGAATGACTGGAAGCAAAAGCAAATCTCAGTTGCAGATTATGTAACAGATATCAATCAAAAGGATGGCAAAAAAAGCAGTCAGCTTCTTTGAAATGTTAAAGGTCTGAATTGCTTCTCCAGATTGCATACAACAAAATACCTTTTTCGCTTAACTCCTTCAGGAAATTATGTTCTGCAAAAACCTGTTCCAAAATTCCATGTTCATAGAAAGGGAAATGGCAAAGATAGGAACCAGATTCCAATCAGTGATTGGCTGTTTTAAGATGATAGATCTTGTTCCATTTGAATGGAATATGTCAACTTCAGACAGCCAAGCACTGATCAAAATCAGACTCCAGAATGCAGAACATTACTTCAGTGTACCGTGTTAGGAGACTCATGCACTCAGTAAATTAGCTTTGTTTTATTTCTAGAAAACAACCAATAATCGAGTTGGTGCACTAATACACTTTGGAAGGAGGAAAGTTTTGTTTTATAAAAACAAGAGGTGCTATTATGAAATTTATCACTTAATTTAGTGGCCATTATAAGGACTTCATAAATGAACCAGTACAACATTTAAAAGAGGTCATAGAATTTATAGATCATTTTTGCACTGATCTTTAGCTTAATCTGTTATATTAAACTGAAACATAAATAATTGTTTTAACCTTTGAAGTACTGCTCATGACTTGTGTTATTGTAATCTAATTAAATTTTAGTTTTTTCAGCAAGTTTGGATAGATCTTCTAATAGGCCTGAGGCCTGAAGTTCCATTTTCCACTGTTGTCACACAACAACAAAAACAAATTCCATTTTACTACAAAAATGTAAGATCCTGCAGAATTGTGGAAAAGTCTTAAATTCGGTCTTAATTTAGAAAACGGTTCTCTTTAAGAACTGCAGAAAATAGTTTCCAAATTAAAATTGAATTTAAGGATGTTCTTCAATTCTGCGCAAACATCTGGGCTGATTAGATGGGATTTGGGGCCACTGCTCCACACAAAACTTACAAAAATATTATGTGCATTTAGATAACGTTTTTCATTAGTCTCACTTGACCAATAATAATAATCCTTGCCTTAATATGTTGTCGAAATGTCTCAAAGTGCCTCACAGAATATACTGTAAAGTGAATTGACTCTGTATTTTGTGGGCCAAAAGTGACAGCCAATTGCGCAATTTATTAGCAATGTAACGGTGGGACACTGAGCAGGGAAGATGCTGACCAAAGGCATCTTTCAATTAAATATATTTTTAGGAAAATTTTGAAGGCAGGGAGAGAAGTGGTTTTGGAAGAGAATTTCAGAGGACAGAGTCAGCCACTGATGGTGAGCAAAGAAAGTGGGGAACAGCAATAAACTGAGATCAGAAGAGTGAAGTTTATAGGCTACAATGAAGGCTGGAGAAGATTGCATAATTCAAGTGGGACATGATCATGGCAGGATTTTAAAACTATTCTTAATATTGATCCTGTTAGTCACTGGGAGCCAACGGACCTTGGCAAGGATAAGGGTAGTCGATTCATGGAGCTGGGTGCAGGGAAAAACTGGGGCTGCATTGCTCTGAATTAATTAAAACCTCTAGAGAATTAGGGAGGCTAAGGGGAACATAGGAAAAAGCTATCCTCAAGTTGACTAAGGCATGGATAAGAGTTCATAATTCATCACTGCATAAAATCTTAAATAGTAATACCTTCCTCAGTCATGAATTTTGTAAGTCCCTCTTGGGTAAGATATCCCTTATTATCTGTATCCAACACCTAGGAGTAAAATGCAAGAGTATTATTAAAAAGTGAAGGTCTCAAAATCAGCAAATAAGTGAACAATGGGAAAGAATCTACATTCAGTTTATCTGTGAATTTTGTTATTTTAATACACATTCAATTCTTTAAGAACTTAAAGTCCAACTGTACCTCAAAAGCACGCAAAAGAACATTTTCTGGGTAGGGTCGGTATCTGTAATAAATCAGAAAAAAACTATTGCAATTCAGGATATCAAACTGTAAAATATGTTGCTGTTGACATTCTTATTCTGAGAAGGCAAAAAAAAGATAGAATCTTGGGGTTCTCACGTTTTTTTTAGCAAAAGGAATACTCCACGATAAGATACCACAGCCAACAAACCTATCCTATTTGTCAGAAAAGGTATTCCTTCAATGTCTGTTTTTTTAAAGTTCTTCTTTCCCATCGCTATCCATTTAGCCTTTTTGGACAGTGCATGTCTGTGGATGTTGTATCAGAACAGGATTGGGCTCAGCTCTGATGCCATGTATAGTTAAATAATTTTACTCTATTCAGACACTCTTAAACTCTCTTGGCTTCAGCTCTGGTGTTGTCAGGACTGTAGTTCACCTTTGTCTTTAATACCTTCAATACCTTTCCGTGAGCCTATCACAAACAAACCAAAATTGGCTGATGAATAACTCACAGTCAAATAAATCATTATATGAGCTTTATTTCCTTCAATAATTTTCTTTCATTTAAATTTTCTTTCATTTAAACCTGCAAAAGTTTCTTTGCCCCTTTGAAGAACTTTCTTACAGTTTCAAAAGCACTAACCTAAATTGACCCACTCTGCTTCCCAAGGTAGGGGAAGACACATAATATCGGGCTACATTGGGCTAATATGTGAAGTCGTTTTAGGGCTACAAAAGTATTTAATTTCTGGCAATTCTGCCTGCAGTGTGTAAAAAGCTGCTGCAGTGGTCATCTTTGGTCACACGATGGCACTATTCCACACAATACCTGCAATACCCCAAGTCAGTTATGAATGATCCTTCAATGTTTGACAGGACTTTACAGACTAAGATAAAAGAACAACTTAATATTATATTTTTGGTTGCCACAGAATGGGCAATGAAATGCCGTTGTAACAGTTAATATATCACAAATACTTTGGATTAAAACTTTAATTGTACCCATGGGAATTAATTACAAATAAAACTGGCATGTATACATTTTACCTGTGGCCATGTATACCAATTCTGCTCTGACACATGCAGGCAAAAGGGCATCAGCAGCATATATTTGCAGCTTTTAGAGAGACTGTATGTTAGACTGTCATCAAAATACACAGAAACTTTGACTTTAGAAAGTGAATGATGCATACTAATAGGTTGATTGCATAATCATATATCATAATTATTCATATTAACGGCATCATTCTATCATTTATTCAAGACTTCACTAGATTGCACAGCTGCCCACCTTGGTTACACCAGCGCCCTAGTGACATTGCAGCATCATAACAAAAATCCCATGTTTACAGATTCAGTAATTAAGGTATACAAGTTGAATATGAAAGAGAACCAGTATTTACGATGCTGATTGATAATGATGTGCTTCAAAACTTTTTTAAAGTGCAATATAAATGTAAGTTATTATTGGTTACTATCACACACACAAATAGAGGTGTCTGCCAGGTAGAATCGGGTGTCAGAGACTGATAAGGGTATTGTGGGAAATAGCTAGAAGTTTACAATGCGATTTATATTTATATAGCACCTTTCATGTCGGGAGGACGTCTTGCACATTAATTCCTATTTTCCAACAAGCTCCGGTGTAGAATGAAAAACAATTTATCTAGACTTTTGGCAAGGAAGAGTTTCAATTGTTACTTCATTTGAGGTTATCTACCTTTACTTACTGTACTACCATGTTCAATCAATGCTCAATAAGCTTCCTAGTTGTTTCTTTTTGGTCAGCTGGATGTCTCAGACAAGAGGTAAACACATCATAAGGCTTAAGAGTATCCAAACCAAAGTTTCACACATGTGTCATCTACATGTGGAAATTACTTGTGTCTGGAATTAATGCGCCCTCTCTCCCTGGAGGGATGCATCCTGCTTACCTAATTCTGTAGAATATTAAGCACAGGCTGGCAAGAGACTCCAGAGCACTGGTGTAGTTTAACATAGCTCACCATTGAGAGCATTGTCTGGCAAGATTCCCCATTTAGGTGGGCAAGAGCAATTCAGCATACACGCGCGAAACTACATTTCAGTAAAGACTATGATCCAGTGCAAAGGTTCGCAAACAAATTGGTTTTGGTGGTTTCAGTGTGCTGGGCTGCACTTCACACATTCATTCACACACTCTCCTGCTCCCCCAGGCTGGAGTGGCTGCTGTGATTGCACAAAATCACGTGGGTGCCACTTGCAGCCACAGTGCCCACATTTAATAACCGCTGGTCTAATGGCATGGGAAAGGCAACTTTAGGGTAAGATTTTAATTGTGTTGTTTGAGTGATCCCAAATCCCAATGTTACCTGAACATCTAATTTACTAAAGGAAAGTGCCATCTAGCCGTGTCAGTCAATTTCAAGTCAGATTAGTTGTCTTTTCCTCCACATATGCCTAAGGTAAATAATATTTAAAAAAGCACCACTTTTCTATAAAATTGAATAATATTGCTGAGTCTGTAAATGAAAAGCGAATTTTTATGATTTGCCGTATATGGGAATACAGAGAATCAAATACACCCAATTTATAGTCACCCACCTTGAAGCTACATGTAGCTATTTTACACTAATACAATGTTTACATTTAAACTCTGTGCTGAGATTACTTAAAATCCCTTCAATTGAGACCCTTACTCAACCCACAGTGAGAGGACATGTTCAACTCATCAGCCTGGGCTACATTCAGACTCGGTTCCCAGAGGTCCAATTCACTGCCAAAATTAAATAATATATTGAATTAGGATGGCATCACTATATTGATAAGGTTTCTGACCCCTTCTATAGTCGTGCTCTGTTTCAGGAAGGAAAAGGAGAGAAGGAAGGAAATCTAAAATAAACTACAGCTGCTAAATTGAACCAGTGTTATTTACTGTGATAACTGGGCTGTTTCGTGAGGGTAAATCACGCAAACCTGAATTCGGTTTTGAATGCTAATGTTGTTCCGTAACCGTAATAGCCTCATGTACTTCAGAAGCCAGTGACAATAATTCAATTGAGAGATAATAAATGTGACAATTATTGCTTTGGTAAGATTGAAACTTTAAAGTCTTCTTTTAATTTTTGATTCTGGCATAACATCTTCCAGTCATCGCAGAACCAATGCTGTGGATTGCTCTGACTGTTGCATACTTTATGTACTATATGCATATATATATATAGCACGGAAACAGGCCATTCAGCCCAACCAGTCCAATTATATTCGACAAGTCTCCACCCACTTCTTATTCCCTCCCATACCTTCTATTCCTTTCTCCCTCATATGCAGGTCTATTTCTGCCCACTTTCTACCCATACATTTGGCAAATTAAAGCTCCCTCCCAGCCTCCAGGTCCATAATAAAAACAGATCCAAAGTTGGTTCAAGGGCTTAGCAGGATTAAAATTAGCTGCCTGATGGATGTTTGCAAATGTTTCTCATATCTCAGGCATCCAAAATAGTTTGTTACTAGAAATGACCTTAACAATTCACCTTCAAATTGGTATCAGGGTCAATGAGTTCCACTCACATGTTCAGGCCATATAGAGTGCTTCTGGCATCAATTGTCAGGCGGACTCAGAAATTAAGATCCCATTGTGTAAAGTGAACATTACATATAAGTTATTGATAAGAATGATCGTTGCATTTTGAAGAGACATTTATTTTGCAAGTTAAAGAGATCCGTATAATCACAATTAATCGTCAATCTCCTGCATTTGTGGAATAATGTCAATAGGCATTGTCTTCTGTAAATATTTCAGCAGTTCCTGGCTTAAACTATTTGTAGCACACATATCTGTGTCTGTGCCACTGAATGATTATGTACAGTTCCCAGACACTGGGTTACTGGTGTTATTATTAAGCTTATTTCAATTTCCTCATGGCTGGGTCGGAAGGCTTTCTTTTTTAAAAAATGAAGTTAAAGATTAAGATCTTAACCATTAAGACTATGTTTCAGTTCCATATCAGCAAGAACACTATTTAGTATCTTTCTGGGACCGACACGGATGGTTGGTTCAGTAAATGGATAAGTCAGACTCATGCAGCGGGAGTTAGTATTCTGAAGATGAGATTGAGACACAACGTTGGGAGCAACAACAAGACAAGATTCCATTTATTGAGCACCTTTCACGTCGGGAGGACGTCCCAAGGCGCTGTACAGTTGGGTCAGGACCCGAGCAAGGGGGAAATGGTCAGGGTGAGGGAAGGGAGGGAGCGAGGAGGGGGTAGAGAGTCGAGAGGGGAGCTGAAGGCACGGTCAAAGAGAAAGGTCTTGAGACCGGCCTTGAAGGAGGAAAGGGAGGAGGCGGCGAAGGCACTGGGGGATGGAGTTCCAGAGCCTAGGGGCTGAGAGGCTGAAGGCCCGGCCACCGATGGTAGGGCGGTTGGGGCGGGGGATGTGGAGCAGACCGGAGCCAGAAGAACGGAGGGTACGGGCAGGTAGGTAGGGGGATAGTAGGTCGGAGAGGTAGAAGGGAGCAAGGCCGTGAATGGCCTTGTAGGTGAGGATGAGGATCTTGAATTCGATCCTCTGGGGGATGGGGAGCCAGTGGAGGCGAGCGAGGGTGGGAGTGATGTGGTCGCGAAGTCTGGTGCGGGACAGTACACGAGCTGCAGAGTTCTGAATGACCTGCAGCTTGTGGAGGGAGGTGCCGGGAAGGCCGGCGAGGAGAGAGTTCCCATAGTCCAGCCTTGAGGTGATAAAGGCGTGGACCAGAGTTTCAGCAGCGTGAGGGGTGAGGTAGTGCCGTAGTCTGGCGACATTCCGGAGGTGATGGAAGGCGGTGCCAGTTGTGGTGCGGATGTGAGGGAGAAAGGACAGCTCAGGGTCGAACAGAACCCGAGGTTCCTGACTGGCTTTGAGAGGTGGAGAGTGCAGCCTTGGATGCTGATGCTGTCAGCGCCTGAGGTGCGGAGGCGCTGACGTGAGCCAATCAGGAGGGCCTCAGTTTTGCGCACGTTGAGCTGAAGAAAGTTGTCTCTCGTCCAGGACTCGATGTCGGACAGGCAGGCTGTCAGGACATCGGTGGTCGTGGAGTTGAGGGTAGAGGAGGAAAGGTAGAGTTGGGTGTCATCCGCATACATGTGGAAGTTAACCCCATGTCTGCGGATGATGTCACCAAGGGGGAGCATATAGAGGGTGAAGAGGAGGGGACCGAGGACAGAGCCTTGAGGGACACCGCACGAGACAGTGCGGGGGCCGGAGGAAAAACCATTCGTGGAGATAAAGTGAAGACGGTGGGAGAGGTACG